CGGGGACGGACGCTGGGGTGTCTATGTCCCCAACTACTCCGGTCAGATTACGGTACGGGTCAACGGTACGGAGCTTTCAACCGGAGGGCTTTTGAGTGGAGACCTGATCCCCGATCAAAGTATTCCGTATTTTGCTCTCATTTCCGGCGGAACATTGAAACCGGGTATCAACCAGCTCGAAATCGACATGACCCCGGGCGGCAAACTGGTGGGCTTTTTGAGCGACGTCTATATTGGTCCGTCGAGCCTTTTGCGCAACAGCTTTGAATGGCACTATCTGCGCGCCGTTCGCCTGCCGGAGTTGATCGTTTTCTGGCAATTGCTGCTGGCACTGCTGTTGTTGATACTCTGGATCAGTCGCAAACACGAACCAGCCGCACTTTATTGCGCAATATTGCTGCTTTTCAGCAGTCTTCACGGCATTCCGATCTATCTGCCCAGCTCTGTCGATATCTCGCACGCAATCGCACTGCTCGGCTATGTGGTGAATTTCTGGCTTACCGTTATAGGTTTGCTGTTCAACATCAGTCTCGCAAACCGGAAACTGCCCTTCCCGGCCTGGTATCTCTTTGTTCTTCCGGCGCTTTCAACCATTGGCTTCCTTGTCCTGCCTTCTCCTGTTTTCGATTATCTCGACAGGTTTATCGTTGTGCCGTTTTCGCTGGTGATCGTTTGCTGGACGATCTTTGTACTCGTGCGTGCAGCCATATGGCAGCGCAGTTGGGAATGCGCGCTTCTTCTCATTGCCGCGCTTTGCTCCTGTGGTCTCGTCGTTCACGACACCCTGATCATTGCCAATGTGACACCGGACAGCAATTTCCTGCATTTCCGGATTGTCTACATCCTTATTCTGCCCTCCTTGAGTGTCATTTTCTTCCAGCGTCTCATCCATTCGATGAACCATGTCGACGATCTCGTCAGCACGCTGGAGGAGCGAATTGCGGACAAGGAAAACCAGCTTCGGGAAACTTTCTCGCAGCGCCAGATTCTTGAGGGAAAGCAGGCATTGCACGATGAACGCCGGCGGATAATGCGCGACGTTCATGATGGTCTTGGAGGTCAACTGATGTCGATCATCGCGATGAGCAGAATGGGCGAATCCAATCCCGATCAGATCGAGACCTCGGCACAGGCGGCGCTTGAGGAACTGAGGATGCTGATCGGATCTCTCGATGTGGAAAACGACATATCCGGGATGCTTGGAACTTTTCGGGAGCGCGCAGAACAACAACTGGCGCTACACGACATAGAACTCGACTGGCAGATGATTGATATTCCGGCAATTGAGGGTCTCAACCCTTCGCGCGCACTCAATATACTGCGCATCCTGCAGGAGGCCACGACCAATGCAGTCAAACACTCCGGCGCCAGCAAGGTTAAGGTCCGGTTTTCACTACAGGCCGAGCCCAGGCAGATGCTGAAGATCAACATTGAGGACGACGGCCGCGGTTTTCGGCACGCAGCAAACAACGGGCACGGTTTGAAGAATATCCGCAGCCGCGCCAGCGAACTTGACGGAAGCCTCGACATCGTCTCCTCGAGTGACGGTACCGTCGTTTCCTTTACCATGCCGATCTCGCTGCATTGAAGCCGTCTGTCTCTATGCGCGCTGCCGTTTGAGTCCGGCCTGCGTCTCGAAAACGCAGGAAAGAACTTCAACCTGGCTGCGGCCCACTCGTCCATATGCCCTGCCCGTCTCACCAAATAGCCAGATCAATCGCTCACTAAGGTTCATCGCGTTCAGCAAACGGCCGCGGTCCCGCATCTTCAGAAGATTTTCGTCCTGAAGATAAGCGACCTTGATCGCGTTGATGCCGTTGCCCCTTTTGGAGGTCAACCGTGCAAGAATTTCAAGAGTATCCGCATCCCGGTCATGCGCGATAGAGATCAGCACGCTGAGTATGGCGTCCAGTCCCTCGATCGCGGAGTCTGAAAACGTCAGCTCTGGTCGTTGCCTGCGCAGATAGGCAATTTCGGACCCAAGGTCCTTTAGGGTGTCGCGCATAGCCCCGACCGTATAGAGGATGCGTACCAGCATATCGATCCGCTCATGGTCTTCAGGCAAAAGCGTTCGTCTTGCCGCGATATCGTTGACGGCTTCCTCGATAATCTTGTGAAGTGCTGCGGTTGCCTCCAGGTTTTCATGCAGATTTCCGGATTTTCGTCCAACACGCAAGCAGTCAAATCCGTCGGCGATCAGTTGAAGCAACCGGATCAACTCCAGTTCGACAAGCCGTTGCGCAATGCATGCCGGTTCAGGGAACGGCGGAACCAGGTGTTTTGGCATGGCGCCGACTTCGACCCGGGTTTGCGGACTGATCCTCCTGAGCAGATCGGCACTCTGGTTGAGCAGCAACAAGAGAACCGGCACGGGCAACACGTTGAACAGGACATATGCCAAAGCCGCCTGCGTCCCCGGATTGTCGCTCAGACTTGAAACAAGGAAAATGACCAATGGCAATCCGGTCATGGTCTCCAGGTAGAACAGCGGCACAAGTATCAGCGCAGAACCTGTGTTCAATCCGAACTTGTAAAGAGCCACCTGTCTTTGCACGCCCGACAAGTTGATTGACAGCAACATCATCAAAATAGAGCCACCGACATTGGCGCCATAGACAAACATGATCCCGTCCTGCAGACCCAGAAGACCGGATTGCAGGAAAACAATCATGACTGCCGAAACGGCAATCGATGATTGCGCAAACAGCGTCAGAACAATGCCGGCAAAAAATGCCAGCAGCGGCACTCCGGCAATCGATTCAACGAAATGAACAAACCAAGCCTGTGTTTCAAGCTGCGAAGCGGCATCCCGCATGATCTGCAGACCGAGAAACAGCAAGCCGACACCGATCGCAGCACCTGTGATCTGTTCTTTGTGCCGCGGGCCGAAAGCGTAGAGAACCCCGGTGGCCCCGATCAGCAGCAGGACGGCAATCCGAATATCCATTGTCAGAAACAGGACGATCAGGCCGGCTCCCAAATTGAGCCCCAGGATGACAGGTTGCACCTGTTTCAACGTCAGCATTCCGGCACGCAACAGGCCGACGAGCAGGAACACTGCAGCAGTTCCGCTTTGTGTCAGGACGATCAGGATTGCACCGACAGAGAGCCCCGCAGGAGCTGATGACGTCAACCTTGCAATTCGCTGTTTCAGTTTCTGATCGGCCAGGTGTTTGAGATTGACGCAAAGAAAATGCATCGCGAAGAAAAACAGACCCAGCCCCGCAAACATGGTCGCGGCGATCATCGCTTGGGTCGACATCAGCGGACCTCTCCGCGTGCGCTGACTTCGTCCGGATGAATATCGAGGACGGAAACAAATCCGGACAACTCGAATACTTCCTGCACCCGTCCCGATAGACCGAACACTCCCAACTGGCCGGCTTGACGGCGCAATCGCATCGCGATTGCAAGAAGAACCCCCAGTCCGGCACCCGCAAGAAATGTGACTCTGCCCATATCGATCAGCAAGCTTGTCGAAGAGGTTTCCATCAGGTCCAAAAGAGTTGCTTCAAAGTCTTCCAAAGTAACCAGATCAATGCGTCCGGTCGGACGAACAATGCAAAGAGTTTTTTCTTTATAGATTTCAATATTCACGAAAATATTTCTCCAAACAAATTGAATGAAGAACTAGGAGGGTCGTCATATATTTTTTAAGATTTCGCCTGACAATCACTTAAATGCAGTCATCACAGGCGATTTAGTTTGTTGTTTTAAAATGCATTCGAACAAGCAATAAGATCACAAATCAGCGAATGCTGCCTCACACAGACACTCCGCTTCACGCAGCGTAAGATTTTCAAGACATTTTGTCACCCCGTCAAATGTATCAGGTCTCTGCTAGCTTCCAATCCAGAGAGCCGATTGCGACATCGCCAACCGCCCAAAGCATGTTTGCGACCCCGAATAGGACGCCGACCGTCGTACCAGTCGCAACTGCGGCAACGCCGGTCAACACCCTCCACGGCAACCGTGTCCACATGGATGTCAAAAATGGCGACGTCGACTTGGTATTTCTCGACACCCAAAATACGGATGGCAGGGCGATGCGCTTTACCAAAACGCCGATCGGCCGATCCAGCCGGGAAACCAGCAATCGCGCGAGCAGCCCGTCCGTCCGAAAGGGATCATTTGAAGAAGGCGCGCCTCCGAGCTCTTCCTGAATGGCATTGCATTCGTAAATCCCGCCCTGATACGTCATGAGGCTCGCGAAAAACACGTAAATACCTGTGAGCACAGTCAATCCCGGCAACAGGGCCGATTGCGTGTCTTGCACGGTGCTCAATCCATATCCGGCAAGGCCGAAACCGCCCGCTGCCAGCATCAGTCCGCCGAGTTTCAAAAACACCGGACTGGTGCGGCACAATCGTAATAATGCAGACGCGGAAACAAAACTGACCGCTGTGAATGTGATCCAGCTGGCTCCGAAATAGAGCGCACCAAGAACCAGTCCGATCCCGGCCAGAGATGACGTTCTGTCAATCCAGGTTTTAGCCTGCCCTCTGTATGGAGCCCCCAAAAATCTTCCCAGGAATATCGTCAGAAGAACGATAACCGCCAGACCCGCGGTCACAATGATATCGGGATAGGTGGAAAAGGCGGTCGCAACTGTAGACCAAAGGTTGTCGGCTGGAATTTCGCTTACAGAGCGAAGCCCTTCGTAAAACGCAAAAAAACCACCGGCACCGGCGATTGCGGCCAACACATTTCCGCTTTCGTAACCCCAGAATTGCAGATCAGGTGCGATTTCGTGAATCTTGTATTTGAGCGGTGTAAACATCGCGCCAAAGTGGCAAAATACCGCGCTCGGAGGTATCCCATGACTTTGGGATGGCGGCCGGCAAATTCGAACGTCTGCCCAGCCAAAAAACCGTTCCGCGTCATCACTGATGTGCGTGCTAAAAGGCTCTCGACGCACCGGAAACCACATGCATTTCCAGCAGCCCGAACAAACGACAGCAATGTTTCCGGCGATCAAGTTGAAGCCCTGATTGCTCCGTTCAGTGACCAACGCTGACATATCCCCGGGTATTGCCGTCATTGTCGGCGTCGACCGTATTCATTGCATCAAACAGCGTTGCTGCCTCGACCCAGACCGGAGGGTACTTGTACCGTGACACGTCCAGGATGAGGAAACGGTCGCTGTCTTCATCATAGGCGCCGAGTGGCGAGATATGGCCGCCGGATTCCTGGCCGATGGACTTTCGCAGGTAATTCACAAGAATGAACTTGTCATTGTCCCGAAGCTGGGAGACCGCGGTCTTGCGAAACGTATCCAGATCGGAATCGGACGCATGAACCACGTCAACGACGAGATCATGTGCGGCAAAAACACCGCCAAGTTCGTCAAGCGTCATCCCGTATGGCGGATTCACGATCGAAGCGGCCGGTTTCACGGCGGTGGCGGCTGGTGTGAAAATGTTCTCCTGGTCGAACATGCCAAGCCCGAGTGTCATCTTGGAAGCCGGACGCGGTACGTTCAACGCGTTAAGCACCATGGCAATCGTAGCCGGCCCGCAATAAGCCGGATTATCCTGTGTCGTGAAATGGATGCTTAGAGGGAAGTAGTCGTTACTCGCTTCCTACCCCAGGAGAAGTGTTTGTCCCTCCGGGCTGGTGAGACCGATCAGATTTTCTGACAAGGGCATTGTTTCTGCGTGCGCAACTGAAAAACATGTCATCGCTGCGGCGGCGACATTGAGGACCATCCGGTACATGCAACTCTCCTTTGTCACCAACTAACCTTAGGTAATGTTTCACCGTAGCAGGACCTGGATCAGCGCACCAACTGAAAGCCTCGCTCTGCAAATCTTCGACATTTCTGAACACAATGTCACTTGCCAACAAAACCCAAAAATCCTACCTCCTTTGCCATGAAACAGGATGCTTTCCCCCCGCGCGCGCAGGCGCGCCCTCAAACCCATCAGACCCACGGCATCTCCCGGCAGGACAACTATGGTTGGCTGCGTGCGGACAATTGGCAGGAGGTGATGCGCGATCCTTCCGTACTGGATCCCGATATCCGTGCCTATCTGGAGGCGGAAAACGCCTATCAGGACGCCATCATGGAACCGACCAGGGAGCTTCAGGAAAAGCTCTTTGCCGAAATGCGCGGCCGGATCAAGGAAGACGACAGCTCCGTCCCTGCCCCCGACGGCAAATTCGCTTATGGCATGAAGTTCGAAACCGGCGGTCAGCAACCGATTTTCTTTCGCACACCGCGCGATGGCGGCGAAGAAACAATACTTTTGCATGGCGACAAGGAAGCAGACGGAAAGGCGTATTTCAGGATCGGCGGCGCTAGCCAGTCTCCAGACCACAAGTTGCTTGCCTGGGCCTATGACGACAAGGGTTCGGAATACTACTCTCTCCAGATCCGCGACGTGGCATCTGGAAAGGATCTGGACTACAGCATCGCCGACACCGGTGGCGGTGGTGTGTTTTCCACCGACGGCAGATTTGTGTTTTATGTCCGGCTTGACGACAACCACAGACCGTCAAAACTCTTCCGCCACGAAATCGGAACCGATCCTGCAGACGATGTGCTGGTTCACGAAGAAGAGGATGCAGGTTTCTTCATGGGGGTCGGCAAGACCCAGTCCGGCGACACGATCCTGATTGACATCCATGATCACGAGACCTCCGAGGTCTGGATGATACCCGCCGACCAGCCCGAGCTCCCTCCGGTTTTGATTGCGCCGCGCGATACCGGTGTTGAATACTCGGTCGAAGATCACGGTGACACGCTCTACATCCTGACCAACCTGGGAGACGCGGAAGACTTCAAGATCGTCACCGCGCCCAAGGCAACACCGGGCCGGGAATTCTGGTCGGATCTCGTCCAGCACAAGCCCGGGTGCCTGATCCTGTCGCACTGCGTCTACAAGACCTTCATGACGCGGCTGGAACGCGAAGACGGTCTGCCGCGCATCGTCATCCGCAGGCTGGCAGACAACATCGAGCATTCGGTGGAGTTTGATGAAGAGGCCTATTCTCTGGGTCTCGGCGGCGGCTATGAATTCGACACAACGGTGATCCGCTTCAGTTATTCGTCCATGACGACACCGTCACAGACCTTCGACTACGATGTGCAAACCCGTGAGCGCCTCCTTCGCAAGGAACAGGAAGTTCCCTCTGGCCACGATGCGTCCGACTATGTCACGCGCAGGCTCATGGCCCCGGCTGCCGACGGCGAAACGGTGCCCGTGTCGATCCTTTACCACAAGGATACGAAGCTCGACGGATCAGCGCCGCTGCTGCTCTACGGCTATGGCTCGTACGGCATCACCATTCCGGCCAGTTTCAACACAAATTCGCTGTCCCTGGTGGATCGCGGTTTCGTCTATGCGATCGCTCATATCCGCGGCGGCAAGGACAAGGGTTTCCGCTGGTACAAGGACGGCAGACGCGAGACCAAGAAAAACACCTTTACCGACTTTATCGCGGCAGCAGATCATCTCGTTGCGGAGAAATTCACCGTACACGACCGCATTGTGGCACAAGGTGGCTCCGCGGGCGGCATGCTGATGGGCGCAGTTTCAAACATGGCACCTGATAAGTTCGGTGGCATCATTGCCGAAGTGCCGTTTGTCGACGTGCTCGAAACCATGTTGGACGACACTCTTCCCCTGACGCCGCCTGAATGGCCGGAATGGGGCAATCCGATCACGGACAAGACTGCATACGAGTACATTGCGTCCTATTCGCCTTATGACAATGTCGGCGCGAAGGACTATCCCGCAATTCTGGCGGTCGCAGGCCTCACCGATCCTCGGGTCACCTACTGGGAACCGGCGAAATGGGTCGCCAAGCTCCGTGCCGTCAAGTCCGGCGACAGCCTTTTGATGCTGAAAACCAACATGGAGGCTGGCCACGGAGGCGCTTCAGGGCGCTTTGACAGGTTGAAGGAAGTCGCGTTGGTTCAGGCCTTTGCACTGATGGTGACCGGCAAGGCCTAGGCTCTCCTCAGGCATCACATTTTTTGAGACCCGGACCGGACCTGCAATCAGGTCCGGTATTTCTTTTGCGGCGAAATAGCTTAGGTTGTTTTCAATATAACGTTACAACGACACGCAAAGGGGATGTCATGACCAAGTCATTGCGCCGGGGTTCTTCATACGCTGCCAGTATTACACTTGCCACCGCCCTGCTCTCAACTGTCTCGCTTGCAAGCGCTGCCGAATTGCGCTGGTCCTCTCCAACCGACCCGCAAACCATGGATCCCCATGCGGTCAACTCCGCGCCGGTCCTCGGCTTTCTGAACAATGTCTACGAAGGCCTTGTCCGCCGTGACAAGAACATGCAGATCGAAGGATCTCTCGCGGAAAGCTGGGAGCCGCTTGGCGGAGACGGCTGGCGTTTCCATTTGCGCGAAGGTGTCAAATTCCATGACGGTTCGGACCTGACTGCGGAAGACGTGCTCTTTTCTTATGAACGCGCCTCTTCGGAAGCGGCCGACACAAGTTCGTGGTTCGCACCGGTCAAGGAGGTCAAGGTCGTTGATGACTACACGGTCGATTTCCTCACCCATGCACCCAACCCGATTTTTCCCGACTCCATCGCCAACTTCATGATCCTGGACAAGGGATGGGCTGAAGCAAACAATGCAGTGCGCCCGGCCAAGGACGAGGAGACCTACGCGACGCTGAATACCAACGGTACCGGCCCCTTCATGCTTGCGTCACGCGAACCGGGTGTGCAGACCGTTCTGGAACCGTTTGAAGGCTGGTGGGATGAACCGGAGCATAATCTGACCAAGGCGACCTTCCTGCCGATTGCCAATCCGGCAACAGCAGTCGCCGGTCTGTTGAGCGGCCAGGTCGACCTGATCAATCCGGTGCCGGTCCAGGATGTCGGTCGCATTGAAAACCAGGACGGACTGACCTTGCACCAGGGCATCGAGGCCCGGGTAATCGTGCTCGGTTTCGGTCACAATCACGACGCCCTCAAATATTCTGACGAGACCACGGACAAGAACCCCTTCCAGGACGTGAAGGTTCGCGAAGCCGTGCAGAAGGCGATCAACGCCGAGGCCCTGGTCGACAAGATCATGCGCGGCAACGCCGAAGTTGCGACTCAGCTTGTCAGCCCTCAGATGAAAGGCCACAGCGATGCAGCGACCGACCGCATCGGCTATGATCCCGACGGCGCCAGGGCACTTCTGGCGGAAGCGGGATATCCGGATGGATTTTCCTTCGGGCTGAAGTGTCCGAATGACCGCTATATCAACGATGAGGCACTTTGCAAGGCAATGGCCGCCATGCTGACACAAGCCGGCATGAAGGCGGATCTAAACGCAATGCCGGTACGCAGCTACTGGCCCGAACTGCGTGCGGGGAACTTCGACATGTACCTGCTTGGCTGGTCGCCTGGCACGTTCGATGCCGAACACCCGGTCCGCTTTCTTGTTACCACCAAGAATGACGAGAAAAAGCTCGGCAGCTGGAATTTCGGGCAGTATTCAAACGCCCGCGTCGATGAACTTCTTCCTCAGATCCAGAAGGAAATTGACGCTGATAAACGTCAGGCCATGCTGGATGAAGTGGCAAAGATCATCCGCGACGACGTGGTCTATGTTCCGCTCCATATCCAGCCGCTTCTTTGGGGTTCGAAGTCCAATGTCGACCTGACCCAGCGTGCCGACAATTTTCTGATGCTGCGTTGGATCAACGTCAACTGATCTATCAAACCTGTCGAATTCCTGAGGCCGGCGTCCTGGACGCCGGCTTTTTCCTTTTGACTTCAACCGTCAAGAATCTGCTCAAGTATTCCGGTAACCAAAAAAATTAGCGGAATTTTTTCTAATATTTCAAAACACACCTCACCTTCGATTAATGCGAAAACCGAATTATTTCTGTTTTTTAATGAAAAACATTTTAGTTGAAGACAGTTTTCCTCCCACCAATTTTCGATTAGCAGGTTTATTTCAAATAAAACCCGCATAACGTCATATATTTTCGGAGAGGAGCCATTATGAATACACATACCCGATTTACGAATACGAACTTTACCAATTTTGACGAACTGCTGGATCAAAAACTCATCGACCTGGCGGCAAACGCCGTGGATGTGACAAAAAGCGGTCCGCCAGGCGCTCCGGTCAATGAACCGGGAACACAGAATGCACCATCGGCGAATTCGGAAAACGGACCATCGGCATACGGACCGCCTTTCCTGGACCTTGACCCCTATGACCTGGAGGGCAAGGACAATCTTCCAACCGGGGATCTAATCGAGGGGCCGCAGGGCTCTATCGGATCCGCGGTTGAATCTGTCGGTGGCGCCGGCCATCAGCAGGTGAATTTCGCGCTCGACATGGCGGGCTATACGTTCCGGTCGGATGCCGGGAGGCTCGATATCATGGCGCTGAGCGAGGAGCGCACGACCGAGATCAAGACCATGACCTTCAACGGACAAGAGGTCGCGGTCGAATACCAGAGTGGCCTCGCCTACCGGTTCGAGGGCAGCTTTTACGACAACCAGTTCAGGGAACTGTATGTCGAATTGAACGCCGAGGTATTCACTTCGATCCAGACAGAGGCGTTCGACGCGGACGGCAATCCGCTTCTGACGTCCTTCGGATACCAACAGATGCTCGAGGTCGCGGGACAAGCTCACGACTACGGAATCGAAGAATTCTCCATGGCGTTCGAATACATGATCGATATTCAGAGAAATGATTTCGGATCTTACGAAATGACGATTTCGGTCATGTTCGAAGGTGAAATCATCGACATGAACGGAATTGGTCGCGAGTTCCTGTTCGAAGACGAAACGATGTTCCTGTTCTCCGATCTCGATCAGATCAGTTTCGACCAGCTGCCGCAGGGCTTCGACGACGAAATCGCCCGTTTCGCCGCAAACATGGGCGATGCGTGGGATGCGTTCGGTTCCGTAAACGACCAGATTGAGGCCGTTCTCCTGAAACTCCGGGAAGAGGGACATTACCAGGCCTGGGACGACGCGGACCAGGGCCTGAACGACCCGTTCGATTTCAACCTGCCAAATGTCGACCCGTTTTCCTGATGAGGGCCGTCAGCCTCTCGAAAACGATCGATCCCAACGAAACCGGAAAATGCCTCCTCCGTCTGCCCGAACGGAGGAGGTTCCGCTGTTCGTGTCTTGATTTTGCCGCGCTCTTCCGCTCAAGTGATTTGCATTGCAAAACAGTCTCTTGATGCGCCATGCGCCCAAAAGAGAAACATTCGCTGGAGCATTCGATGGATCGCCAATTCCGCACGCGCACGCAAGTTTCCCGCAGGTTCAAGGCAACGTGCCGGAGTTTCCTTGTCGCCGTCGCAGCCATCGGCCTTGCAGCCTGCCAGCAGCAGTTTCAGACCCCTTCCGATCTCCTGTTTGCACCCACATTCAACAAGACCCGGCAGAACCTGCCCTATACGCAGAATACCCAGTACGACTGCCGCAACTTTTCCGGGACCGGCTGGAAGGGAATTGCAAGTGGCGTTGTTTACGATTTCAGCAATCGATACCAGATCTCCCAGGCCGGCTGCTTCAAAACACAACAGGAGTGTCAGGCCTGGCTCTCGGTCATGCGGTCCTATATCGATGTTCCACGCTTCATCAGGTGCAACCCCCATACAGCCTAGGGCGTTTTCAGAGCGGAACACCGCCCTGCAGCACCTTGCGTGCGGCCATGAAAGCTTCGATGTGATCGCAAAGGCATTTTGCACGCGCACTCAACAATCGTCCGGTCGGCCAGACCAGATAGGCATTGCGCAACTGTCCGGTCCATGTTGGCAGCACGATCCGGAGACGACCGGCATCGATTGCGGAAGACGTTTCGGTGACCGGCAATAGCGCAATCCCGTGACCATCGGCAACGAATTGTCGTGCCAACGTTATGTCGTCAACGGCTATATCCGCGTTGAGGTAAATCGTTTCCTCCGAGGCCGTTCCGGTATTCCTTAGCTGCCAGTGCGGAAGCGACGAGACCCAGATCAGCTTGTGGTGGCGTAAATCGTCCAGCTCCTTCGGCTCTCCATTTTCCGTCAGATACTTCGGCGCGGCCACCATCATGGTGGCAACGCTGCCGATCCGCTTCTGGTAAAGTGCCGGATCCGATTGCGCGCCGAAACGAAGCGCCAGATCGAACCGGTTCTCCCTGAGATCCCGGTTATCGTTGCTCAGGCCGAGAGAAAGCCTGATTTCGGGATGTTGTTTCACGAAATCCGACCACATCGGTGACAATATGCCTATGGAGGCATTTGTCGGTGCGGCGACACGCAAGGGCCCGCGAATTTTGTGCAGATCCGCATTCAGGCCTTCCAGCGTGTTTTCAGCCTGAAACATCAGCTCGGCAAGCGACCGGTAATAGGCTTCGCCTTCCGATGTCAGGGTAAACTTTCGGGCTGATCTGTGCACCAGCCTGACGCCAAGCGTTTCTTCAAGCCGCTTCAACCGCCGGGTGACCGTGGCAGCCGGAACGTTCAGCCTGCCTGCTGCAGCTGAAAGGCTCCGGCACTGGGCAATGTGAACAAACAGTGAGATATCGTCCAGCATGATTTCATTTTCGGAATTTAAACTCTCTATTTTTGATATAGATTGATGAAATAGAAATCAATAGATCTCCCATGATCCCACAAGCAAGGAGAGATCAATGCCTGGATATTTCATCAGCGCCGGAATCGAACTCAAGGACGGTGCGAATCTCGACAAGGCAGAACAAGGCCTTCGCCTCCTGACGGAACAGACCCGGAGTGAACCCGGCTGCATTTTTTTTGAAATTCGCCAGAACCTAAAGGAGCCTGGAAAATTCACGCTCTGGGAATGCTGGACGGACAAACAGGCGCTTGCCGATCATTTCGAGGCTGATCACACGAAAGCCTATCTCGCGCAGGACCTGACCGAGGTGAACTATATCGAGGAACTCACCGAAATCGGCGAGACCTCAGGTGCGATTTCAAGCTGAGACAGCCATGAAACACAGGCTGATTTCCACTTTTTTCATGTCGTTCGGCCTGTCTTTCGTGATGTCCTGCTGGGTGACTTTTCTCAATCTTGGCTGGAGCGACGCCTTCCTGGGCCAATGGATGGAGGCATTTCGTCTGGCGTGGCCGGCCGCAGCCATTGCCGCCTTCTTTCTCAGCCCGGTCGTTCAGAAAATTACCGGCATCTTCGCAAAGTACCTGCCCTGATACCTTGGAGCATCAATGACCATTTCACGCCAAAACTTCGAAGACCTGGGAATGCCCGTCGGTCCCTATACACACGCGGTTCGTCATGAAAACACAATCTTCACGTCTGGTTTCACCGCGTTTGGAACGCAGGCTCAGGCAGCATCGGCAGAGGAGCAGACGCACGCAACTCTTTCGCAGCTGAGTTTTCTCGCAGGGCAGTACGGCAAAACACTCTCGGACCTTGTCAAGGTCACCGTGTTTGTTACCGATCCATCCGACATTCCCGGCATTCGCCATGCCCTTACGGAAGCATATGGCAAAAACGTGCCTGCCAGTTCGCTGGTGATGGTCGCAGGCCTGTTTTCTCCGGATTTGCGTGTCGAAATGGAGGCCATCTTCGGACTGTGAGGCAGCCAACGGCGTCCTGTCGTTGACAGCAGCCGCCAGTCGCAAGCCTTTCAGACCCTAGAGGGCTTTTCGAAAGAACACAGTCTCGCGGATCGGCGTCTTGTAATAGGCGGGTATTTCCTCGAAGCCGGCAGCTTTGTAGAGCTTTATCGCACCGGTCATCGTCGGCAGCGTATCGAGCAGCATCTCGCGATAGCCGGTTTCAACCGCGGTTTCCAGAATTTGGGAAACGAGAGTTGCGCCGACACCCTTACCGCGACCGGCCGGCAAAACGTAAAGCCGCTTCATCTCGCATCTGCCATCTTCATCGAAGGCTCTTAGACCGACGCATCCCAAGACATTGCCCCCAGAGTCCTTCGCGACAAAGAGCGCACCCTTCGGCGGTGCATACTTGCCTGGCATCCCTTCAAGCTCTTCTTCGAAACCCTGATAGGACAAGTCGATGTCCAGCCAGTCGACATAGGCCCGGAACAGGACCTTGACAGCCTCAAGGTCTGGACCCGTTTCAACAGATGTGATGGTGACGCTTTTATCGAATGTCATCGGACCTCGATAATCCGGGACAATTCAGCTGTCAATTTGCTGTCGGAGCGACGACCGGAATCGCCTTGAGATAAGCCGCAATCGCTTCCCGGTCACTTGCAGGAAGCCGGGCCATGTTTTCCTGGACCTTGACCATCTCCCCGCCGACGGAATCATATTCCGGCGTGAACCCGCTCTCCAGATAGTAAGCAATGTCCGCCGCGCTCCAACTGCCGAACTTGCCTTCAACAGGTGTAATGTCAGGTATCCGGCCTTCACCTGTCGGTGCCGGTGCACCGCCGAGCCAATGCGAGAGAATCAGCCCGCCGGCAATATCACGTGCTGTGTGGCACTCCCCGCAGTGTCCGGGACCTTCCACCAGATATCGCCCCCTGTCCCACAGCGCCTGATCAACCTCGTTGCCGGAAACCGGTGCAGCTATCACAGGCTCCGGATTCAGAAAGAGGCGTTTCCAGAGACCAAGACCGCGGCGAATGTTGAACGGGAACCCGAGTTCATGCCCCGGGGCTTTGCCCTCGACCGAGGGCAGCGTCTTGAAAAACGCGTAAAGGTCGCCAAGGTCTTCGACCGACATCCGCGCATATGACGAATAGGGAAACGCCGGGTAATAGTTTGCCCCATCCGGCGATGTTCCGTGTGTCATGGCATTGGCGAAATCCGTCAAGGACCAGGCACCGATGCCATCGGCCTCACTGGAAGAGATGTTCGGTGCAACGAAGACACCGAATGGAGTTTCCAGCCGCAATCCGCCACCAAGATTGAGCAGATCTTCGCCCTTTGCATCCTTTGCCGCATGACACGAAGCGCAACCGCCAGCCCAGAATACGAGTTCCCCCTTCACCGGGTCACCTGTCTTCAGCGCGGCCGCCTGCTGTTCGGTCATCCGCGTAGGTGCGGAGAGGCTCCATCCGGCACCCGCTGCAATGACAGCGAGCACGACAAGGACTATCAATGCCTTTTTCATGGACCTCTCCGGAACCGCCTAAACCGGCATATCGGTAATGCGCCGGTCAGTTCTTCTTACGGTAAGTCTCGTGGCACGATTTGCAAGTACCGAGCACGGGGCCCATCGCCGCCTTGAACGCGTCAAGATCCGCCGGACCGTCCTTGCCGGATGCTTCCATCGCCTTGCCGGCAGCAGCCGAGAATTTTGCAAGTTCGGCAGCAAAGCCATCGGCGTTTTCCCAGATGGCCGGCAACGCGCCGGTATCACCCTGGTCCGATCCTTCAGGGAAAAAGTCGCCGAAAGACGCAGCAGCGGCATTCATTGCGGCAATTGCGGCTTTCCCCGCAACCGGCGAAAACGTGACTTCGCCTTTCATCATGCCGCCACCAAGGCCGGCTGCCGCGCCGACAGATGACATGATGGCTTGCCGCGTTGCGATTGGATCATCAGCAGCCTGAACAGACCCTGTAAATCCCAAACCGGCCAACATGAAAATGGCCGCAACATTCCTTACGATGCGCATGATCCTCTCCCTCTCGATCAAAACACCGCCGATACGGTGCGCAGGAGTTGGAGTACAGCCAAGAATTGCTCCGGAATAAAATCACGCTCCCGTGATGTCGCCTGTAAATTGTAACAATGTGTGCCCGAAGTCCCCTGGAAACGAAAAACCCCGGCCCTGACGGGACCGGGGTTTCAACTCATGATGAGAGGACCGGCTTACTTGGTCGCAGCTTCATAAAGCTCCAGGACATAGTCCCAGTTCACCATGTTATCGACGAACGCTTCCAGGTATTTCGGGCGGGCGTTCCTGTAGTCGATGTAATAGGAATGCTCCCACACATCACAGCCGAGAACCGGTACCGCACCATGAACAAGCGGGTTCTCGCCGTTCGGTGTCTTCATGATTGCCAGTTTGCCATCCTTGACAGCGAGCCATGCCCAGCCTGAACCGAACTGGCCCATTCCGGCGGCGATGAAATCGGCGCGGAACTTGTCGTATCCGCCAAGGTCGCTGTCGATTGCCGAAGCAATTGCACCCGGCAAGGATGTGCCGCCGCCATTCTTTTTCATCCATTTCCAGAAATGAATGTGATTGTAGTGCTGCCCGGCGTTGTTGAAGAGCGGAGCATTGCTGCCGAAGCTTGCTTTGACAATCTCCTCAAGAGACTTGCCTTCAAGTCCGCTGCCTGCGAGCAGTTCGTTGCCCTTTGTGACATAGGCCTGATGGTGCTTGTCGTGGTGAAACTCCAGGGTTTCGGAAGACATGTAAGGTGCCAGGGCATCATATGCATACGGCAGGTCAGGCAATTCGAAAGACATGACAAACTCCTCAGGTTTAGTCGGGGACCGGCGGACCGGACACGAGGTCCTTCGAGCCGCTTCGTGCCGCAAAATAGGATTCCCCAGCCAGATCGGCAAGTTCGGAATTCGAAAATAAAACAATTTTTTCCTTATTTTTTTGTCACGTCAAGGATTCATGCCTACAGGCACGGTCGTTTGGACCACAAACTAAACCAATTAGTTGACTGTTAAACGGCAAGCTGATAATTCATCCATACGGTTGAATGAAGGTGTGCGCGTTACTTCACAGGCGACTGGATCGTTCGACCGGCCAGATGGCACTGTCCTAAGCGGGAGGCGAGTATGGAATTTGACAATGTGAATTGGATCGCAGTTGTGGTCGGCACGATAGCGGCGTTTTTGTTCGGCTGGCTCGTATATTCACCCCTGCTGTTTGCCAGGGTGTGGGCCGAAGGCTCCGGTGTTGAACTCAAGTCGGACAGCAGACCGCCAATGGGCGCAATGGTGCTGCAGATACTGGGGCTTTTGCTGCTGGCTACCGTGGTCGGTGTCACTGCGACAATTGACGCCCTCATCACCGCAATCCTGGCCATTCTGGCTGCCGCGCTGCTGACCGTTTCAAACGGTGCGTTTTGCCGGAAGTCGACGCCTGCCTTGGCCATCGATGCCGGCTACATTGTCGGTGCTGGAATTCTGATGATCGTTGCACAGGGCATATTCTGAGTTCCGGATTGTTTGTTTTTCATTGGAACAACAATACCGGTCACATTGAATTCAAGGTTTGCGCGTTGTCACCGGTCTCGGCCAGGTGCCGTTTTACCGTCTTCGCGCTGCCTTCCCGAGATCTCGATCACAATGAATTGCGCTCAATTCGCTTTTGACAAGAATTGTTTGTGAGCTGCAAATCCGGACGGTGAGAGGCTCAAAGACAGAAACAATCCAAACCTGTCCAGGCCAAAAGTCTCGTTCCGTCGGAGGCGACACCTTTGATTGGATGAATGTTGCGGAAACTTGATCAGTTGGTCTTAGCGGTGTTTGTCTATCTGCTCCCGTATCTGTAGCATCCTTGCATGTCTGCGGCCCGGTCTGCAGGCCCCGTCCGTTTCACCTTTCCACCAATGATTTCCAGTGACCAAATGTCGACACCAGACCGTTCATTTGTACCCCTCGCTTTTGGTGGCTTGCTTTCGCTGGCTGCGGCAATGGGAATCGGGCGTTTTGTCTACACACCGATCCTTCCTTTCATGCAGGATGGACTGCAACTGCCAGCTGACGATGCCGGCCTGATCGCATCCGCCAATTTTCTCGGCTACCTCACAGGTGCTCTTGCGGGTGCGGCAAGATCATTGCCAGGCAATCCAAGACACTGGTTTCTGGGCGGCCTTCTGGTCAGCGCGTTGACAAGCCTTGCAATGGCCTTGACCACCGCGCTTGCCGCTTTTCTGGTCCTCCGCTTCGTCAGCGGCATTGCAAGTGCCTTTGTTCTCGTGTTTTCAACGACACTCATCCTGGAGCGATTGAACGCGGCAGGACGCGGGGACTTGTCCGCTCTTCACTTTGCCGGAGTTGGCTGCGGCATCGCGTTTTCCGCGATACTTGTTGCAGGTGTAGCCTCCTACTCCGCGGACTGGAGGCTGCTCTGGATTGCCAGCGGAATTGCAACGCTCCTTTTCTTTGCAGCAGCTGCACGTCTCGTCCCTGCCCCCACCGACAGAAGTTCATCCACCCAAATCGATACTCGCAAAGCGGAAACAAGGACAAACTTTCTGACAAGCAGTCTGTTGCGGCTCATCGCCGCCTACGGCTTGTTCGGTTTCGGTTATGTGATCACCGCGACATTCGTTTCCGCTATTGCACGCTCGGAACCGGCCCTTCAGTCGAGCGAACCGTTTGTCTGGCTCACTGTCGGCCTCTTCGCCGCGCCTTCGATCCTGTTCTGGAACAAGGTTTCGGCAAGAACCGGAGGCCGAAAGGCCTTTGCGCTGGCATGTGTCCTGGAATCATGTGGCGTCGCCCTGACCGTTGTCAGCGCTGAACCGTTTCTGTTTCTCCTGGGATCCGCACTGCTTGGCGGAACATTCATGGGAATAACGGCTCTCGGCCTCATTGAAGGTCGCAGACAGGCAAGCTCCGGTGGCCCGGCCGCCGAACGTCAGATGCTCGCAATATTGACGGCTGCATTCGGCCTTGGTCAGGTCGTCGGGCCATGGCTGGCCGGCAAACTTCATGCCGTGACAGGGTCATTCGAGGCCCCCTCGCTCGTCGCCGCGGCAGCGCTGCTGGTAGCCGCGGCCCTCGTTGTTCGCGAGTAGCGCGGACGTTCTCAGGCGTGGGAAAAGTCCCAGTAGAGTTCGCGGGCCTTCGCTGCTACTGGGCCAGGTTGCAGATCACGTTGCTCGATGCGTTTTACCGGAGTTACCTTGCTGTAGTTACCGGTCGAGAATATTTCGTCCGCGTCCAGAAACTCGTCATAATGCATTGTGCGCTCGAACACCTCGTAGCCGGATGAGCGCAGCAGCTGAATGATGCGCTGCCGCGTGATGCCGTCCAGAAACGTACCGTTGGGCGCAGGAGTGTGAACCTTGCCGTCCTTGGCCAGAAAGACATTGGCGGACGTCAGTTCGGCAACGTTCCCCATCATGTCGCGCACGACCGCATTGTCGAAACCGCGCCCCTTGGCCTCCAGCATCGCCCTTGCATTGTTCGGATAAAGGCAACCTGCCTTGGCATTCACCGGCATGCATTCCATTGTCGGGCGGCGGAAGGGCGACAAGGTAATGCTCATGGCTGCATCTTTCGGCGCCATCGGAGCATCGAAAAGGCAGAGGCAGAACCGGGTGCTTTCCGGGTCGCCGGTAATGACCCCGTGACCATCGGCCTCGACCCAGTACATGGGCTTGACATAAATATGCTGATCGGTGCCGAACCTGGCGCAACCCTCTCGCGTCAGCTCGATCATTTCCCCGACCTTCATGGTGGGCTTCATCCCCAGCGCGACCGCAGAATCGTTCACACGCTGACAATGAAGGTCGATATCCGGCATGACTCCTTCAAAAAAACGTCCGCCGTCAAAAACACTCGAGCCAAGCCAGGACGCATGCGTACGTGGTCCCATGATCGGCGGATTGCCCTCGTGCCAGGTGCCATCGATCCAGGTCCACGTATCACTCAATCCGCTCATTGCTCTTCCCTTTGCGTATTTGGATCGGCATTTCAGCCGAAGACACAACACCGGCGACCAGCCCAGGTCAACAGCTTACCCTATGGAATGAGAAAGTTGCCGCCTTTCTTTCGGCATCTGACGGTGACAGGGATAATTCTGTTCGACTTGTTTCAGAATTTGAAAAAATCTTGTCACCAAAAAAATGCGTCATCGCGTTTGTTTGAAACGTTCCCGAGCGTCACACTTCAGCCGGCCTGGTCAATCCAGGGTGAAATGGAATTGACAGGAAATCAATTTTGTTCACTATATGTTCCTTTCATGAGTGAGGACAGAACGATGGAACAGCGCATTTCAATGACAACCCTTGCCGTACCCGACGTGGCTCAGGCTCGTCGTTTCTTCGAGGAAGGGCTTGGCTGGAAAGTCAATGCCGCACCGTCGCCCGATGTCGTCTTTTTCCAGGTAATTGGCGGCGTGTTCGCACTCTACAGCCGTGAAGCGCTGGAAAGGGAAATCGGGCGAGATGTCACGAAAGACACGACCGGAGCAATCACGCTCGCCTGGAATGCACGGTCCGAACAGGAAGTGGATGCCATCTTTCAAAAGGCCGTATCTGCGGGCGCAGACCCGGTCAAGCATCCGGAAAAGGCTTTCTGGGGCGGGTACTCGTCCTACGTTGGGGTGCCTGGCGGACACCTGCTTGAAATCGCTCACAATCCCTTCTGGAAAATCGAAGCGGACGGCGCCGTCACATTGCCTCCGGCACAATAGTCCGAAAGATACGACTTTTGTCGCACCCTTCGGCGCTTGACGTTTCGGTGGCTGCACGGTTTTCTTCCGCAGTCCCGAAACCCCGACGAAGGAATTCCCGTCATGGCGCATGCCGCGTTCGTGTTTGATGCTTACGGCACCCTGTTTGATGTCCATGCTGCGGTTCGCAAGCATGCGGCAAAGCTGGGTCCCGATGCGCAGCGATTTTCTTCAATCTGGCGTGAAAAACAGCTTGAATACTCTTGGGTTCGCGCCCTGATGGGTCAATACAAGGACTTCTGGGAACTGACCCAGCAGGGCCTGGATACGGCATTCGCCCTTGTCCCTTCCGCTGACAAATCCCTGCGCGACGATCTCCTGAACGCCTATTGGGAACTCGATTGCTATCCCGAAGTGCCACAGGTCCTGACGGACCTGAAGGCAACAGGCGCAAAGATCGCAATCCTCTCCAACGGTTCACCCGCAATGCTGGAAGCTGCCGCAAAGGCTGCCGGACTGACGGATTTGTTTGACGAGATCTTTTCAGTGGACGATCTCAGGACCTTCAAGACCGACCCGCAGGTCTATGAAATGGTCACCACTCAATTCCGAATTTATCCGGAAGAAGTTTCATTTCAGTCGTCGAACCGTTGGGACATTGCAGGAGCAACCGCGTTCGGCTTCCGTACCGTCTGGATGAACAGGATGGGTATGCCTGACGAATATGCGGACCTTGCACCGAAAGCCGTGCTTGCCGACCTGACGGGCCTTGCTGCTCTGGGTTGACGGTATTTTCTTTCAGTCTCGATAATCCTGACGATCCGGGTCTCTTGTTTGGTGTTCCCGACCTTGCCAACGCGCATCCAGGCTTCGAGGCATCGTGCCTGGGCAAGGCACTATTCTTTCTGAGCGGTCGGGTGAAGCCGAGGCAATGTCGTTCCATTCCTATCCGGAATAGCTAGAATGCCCTTGAAACGCCGATCATGAAGCGTTGGTTGCCCGACGCTCTTTCAACACTTGTACCACCGTAGTTCGCCTTGTCGTCGATGATACCCGTCAGCGTGTAATCGGCACGCAGACGCCAGTTGTCCCTGAAGGCAACCTC